AGTAGTCTTTAGATATCTGATATAAATGGTCTTTATTAATGTTATCGATGTCAATGTTGTATGTTGTTTTGATGTTGTTGAGTTTTTGCAGCCAAGAGTTAGGATAACATTGTTGTTTCAGCTCCATTAAAGCGTCATATGCAAATGTTATTGATCCACTCTTGGTGATGTGCTGATAATATTTTATGGCTCTTTGTTGTACTATGGATAAGAGTGGCAGTCTTCCTAATTCCATTCGACATCCGATGTTGCTGCTTATATATCGTATTACCCCGGGCCTGAACGTACAAAATCGGGAAAAATTGGGAAAAATTGGGGGTGGGCGCTTACCCGAGGACCACCCCAAAAAAGATTTTAAAAAGTTGTTTTTTGTGATCGTATGATAAGGTCAAATAAAGGAATGCTTTCGTACACTTTGTACACGTACTTATTTCTTGATTTATGCGAGGTTTCAATAAACGTGAGCACTCGGTCAAGATCTGTGGGAACACTCACAGGCGCTCGGAACATTTCTTGGCTAATAAAAAATCACCTAAAGTGGGATCGGCATAGTTAGTCAGTCGCCGGTAAATTCCCCTACTACTCATATAATAACACAAGGTAGGAAAGCATTGACACCATGACATTGAAACTTCCCGAAAATAACACGATTTTCCAAATTATATTTCGATCCGCTTCACACAACTCAAGCATGATATCGGTAGAAACTATCGATCGACTTACATTTCCTTTATTCGAACTAAAACGGGTTAAATCCTGTGAAAGTTGAAACACCAGAGCAATATGAATCAACCCGTCTACGCGGAGCATGCGTAAATGTTTGGAACTGCGCATTTTTGGAGCTGCGCATGCACGAGCCTCTGCTTCAAAATATCCACGTAGACGGGTTGATTCATAGATTTCAAGCTTTTTCGCATTGTGGGCGAAACTAAAAAATGTTTCCACACATTTTTCCTCCAACGACATTTTAACACTGAAGTAAACATTTTTCGTTTCGCTGTAACGATTATCGTGCTGATAGAATTGTGATGCAATTGACAAACAACACTGCTGTTGCTGTCATCGCTAACTTTTCAGTGTCAAAATACACAAACATAAAATGCTTGGTTAATTAAAAATAAAAAAAATACCCTGGAAATTACCGAAAAATCGACAATGAGATGCTGTTTTTAAACACCGTGGAAAATTCATGCACTCTGCGATGCCATCTTGGTTACCTCAATCGGAAACCCCCTTGTCTGCTAGCATGCACCGGTAGCAAAGGTCGCAAACTACGTTGAATGGCCGTGATCGGCGACATTTGGTACTAAGGTACTCTGTGAATGAGGTATTTCCAGAGGTCAGGGTTCGTTTAATTTGCACCGACCTGTCTCGTCTGTAGTTGAATGAAACCTGCCTCGATTTACAATAGTTCCCCTTCAAATGTGACTTCATTTCGAATTTGTTTCACCGGCATTTGGGTGATTGAGTAGTAAAAACGGCGAATAACAGTTGTGTAGTAAAATATTAGGGCCCTTTTCAACCTGGTCGTCTTAACTTCTCACGATCCTTGGAAACTGCGTCATACAAAGTATTTTTTTAAAGGTTTGAGGGAAGGTAAATTTAGCCTCAACCCACCCAATGGCGATCACTATGTTTATATAACTGTATGAATAACTCATCGGCTTTACGTAATCCATTGTGTCCCTCCCTCAGTGGAATTGATAACACGACGCCATGACAGTTTTCACGCAAGGTTGAGACTTCGCGGACGATTTTTCCCTCGAATTGTAAATTTTTTTATTTTATTTTTTTAGTTGACGATTTGACATCAGCAAATTACGGTGTATGGTGTATTTCTATGAGTTTCTGTTACACATATGAAGCTAATGATTCGTTTTAAAACTTTTTTTTACAAAATGGCGATTATCTCAGTTTCATTTTTTACTCAAAATTTCAACTTTAAAACTATTTAACTTCTAGACGGTTCATTTGTTTTCAATGACATTTTCAGGGGTCAATATTCAGGTCTATCCTAAGTAAATGGCTTCGTATGGTTTTACTGTCTTCACTGGAACAGAAACAATAGAGCTGCCAATTAGCGGCTCTGTTAACTGTGAACGATTTATAAAATGTGAATATTTCAAAGAGCACTGTGTAAAAACTTTTCAAGGGAAACACTAATAAATAAGCCATTATGTTCCTAGTAACCAGAAGTTTTAAATAAGTGTTTTAAAATCAAAATCAGGGTATGCATTCAAAAGTTAAATAGTTTTAAGTGCACTTTCACCTAAAATGCATGATTTTAACCCAAAATCAACACCACTTAATATGGTATCATAGTACATTATTGTAAACCATAAAACGCAAAAGTTTAAATAAAACTCTTTCAAATGATATATAACTTGATGGGTAAGGGTTATATTTTACTTGTGTAATTACAGTAATCAGAGCCAATTAGAAATATAGTCTCCCAACCTGCATCTCTACCTTAAGCAAAGTAGAATGAGACACGTCCAAAATTTTGACTCAAAGATTTATACGAGGATACATTTTGCACAAAGCTTTGACCAAAAATCAAGTTTTCATTCAAGCACACATGCACACAGACAAACAAAAGTGATTTATATAAGGGCAATCCTGGCAGAGCGGACTTCAAGACTAACATTTAACATTTCTCCTGGCCAGGGAAGAAAATTCAACTAACACAGTAAATCTTGTTATCTATATCGGTAAATGTGCACAAGATTTAATGTTGCTCAAAGCAATTAACTCATGCACTCAAATGTCCTAACTGTTAATATAAAAGAAAAATTATTGCGTGAGGGTTTTACAAAACTAAACACCCAAGAATATAGCATTTAATTTTTCAAATAACTGAAATTTTGAATTTCACACAATTTTATTTATATTTGAGCTAAAGCAACACATTAATAGTAGCAACAAATAACACAAGATATACAACACTGCTGACAGCATACTCAGGAAAAAGTGCTAACAGCAATCAAAATTAAGTTATTCAATTAGATCAAGTCTAACTGTAGCACAGGTTACATGATGCCGTCTCATAAAAACAATTACAAATGTGTTTCAGTTCTCCAAGGTAATGAAACACTATTTGATCCAAGAGGTGCAGGTGGCAGGAAATCATGCTACCATTTACCTTGTTGAATGTAGCTATAAAAAACAATATTGAATTAAGTTGGCAGTATAGACATAGAAGAAAATGCCTCCTAGGTTATGAAGATTTGTTGTTAAGGTATGAAGTGGCGGTTGTGTCTACTATACAACTGTAGAGTACCGGTAGACTAATTAATAAGGTTTAATAAAAAATACATAATCACTGGTGAGATTAAATCCATATATATATATATATATATATATATGTATGTAGGTATCATATGCTATAGGAATGGCAAGCTTAAACTTTCAATAAATATTGGAGACTTGATATACATCTACTATTATAAAGTATATTTATATTAAACTATTATGCAAATAAGCTGCCATACTTTACGATTTACCTGATGAGAAAACACAAGTAGTGTTCTCACTAGACGAATTAAGCTGTTGTCACAACGCCTTTTATTTGAGAACGTTGTTAAAATGTGTGTGTGAACAGAATACGTCGTTGTGGCGCTGGCGTTTTTGACACTGTCCTAAAAGGGGTGGACGAGATCCTAAACGCCGTTGTCACATCGGCTCTTGCACAATGGAATGTGCCGTGTGAACACAATACGATGGCCAAAAGCCCTCTATCGCTGACTTATTTATTTATACATTACACAAGATGGCGTCAGAGGTTACAAGTCAAATTTACTAGCCAATCTCTGTTATCCCACCTTCGTAACACTATTTCTTCCCACCAGTTATTTCCATGTTGTTGGTCTTGTTTGACCTAACAAGTTGCCGGAAAAGTTGAAACAAAGCAAGTGCATTTACCAGAGGGGACGCCATTTTGTCGATTGACCTTCCATTTTTGTATTAACCTTTTTGATTCATTGAGGGCGCAAAACACCACGTGCAGACAATTCAGCAGATTAGCTAATATTTGCACCAAAAAAAAAACAGTGTGTGTGTTAGCTACACACACATTTTGCTCTTTTTGATTTATTGTTAGACATTCACAAATAATAAATGTTAAAAAATCATGTGTGATCAAATTACTAAGACCCAGAGGTATTTTTCGTTGCTATGGAAATATAAACTACCTTCTGATGTTTACACTACATATACGTACGCATATATAAAAAATTATCTCATGTGTTTGTTTCAAAGGCTCTTGGAAATCAAGGCTCTAAATTTGCAGTATAAGCCTTATGTGAGGGCTACTATTTTTACAAAATAGCGGCCCAACTGGAAAACCTTGGTACTAGAAATTTTCAAATTAAAAATTTATTTCCATTCATATAGCAGATATACAAGTTCTTCCACACAAAGTGAGTTCAGTATGTCAATTTTATGTTTTTACAATTGTATGTGCAGTCTAACACTATTGTCCGACTATCAGCTTTTGAAATTGGTAACCCACTCAGGTTTCCAAGAAAATATTTCAATTTTGAGCCATGATAATCTATATATTATTTGATTTGACATTCAGTTTGTTCAGTTATTAGGTAAATACATTCAGTCACACTGCCATATTGGGTTACAACATGAGCACGACTGCTGATGCTGCTGCTGATACTAATACTGTTCACATAACAGCTTAATTACTGTATTGTACATTATTTTATTTTCATTTAGAATTAATATTTCCTATCTATTTATACTGATTGTCAGCATAATAAAAAATAAAATGAAAATGCATTTTTGCATGCAGATAACATGATACCAATAAAAAAAAATCACATCCTACACACAAAAATGCTGCAATCAGTAAAAATAAAATATCATACAATTACACTAATTAGTTGATTAAGGCTAATTAACCATAACATATGTTAAATGAATGTATGTATATATATATATATATATCAGAGAGTAAACTGATGTCCTTTCCCCATTAGACTATAAAACATATTGTTGATGAATTTATTCACTGCAGTGTTTAGACACCTGCACTAGCTTCCACTATGGTGTACACTTTGTGCGTGACGTGACACACATGAGATACAACAATAACATAAAAGCAAACGTACACCATATTGTAATATTTTACTGGAAAAATAAATTATTGTCATTGAGTGTTTTATAAATTAGGTTGATTTATACCAGCAAAATTTACTAACAAAGGTTTTACAGATTCAGCCAGTATTTTATAAATGCCATGCGATATATGTACGTGATTTATATATAGATTATTTTTTTCTTATTTATGATAGATAATAGAGCGCTATGATTAAATTATTATTTTAAATAATTGCTAACCTGCTTGAAAAATGTGAAAAAACCCAGTGAAAAAATAGGCAATGATTTTAATCCAAATTGTAATATTTGCATTGATATTTACTTTTCAGATAACTTCTGTGTAAATATCGGTAATGTTTTTTTAGTATGTGAACAATACCAGTATATTGGAAAAATCTATTGTTGGCAAGGGTTAAAGGTCAAGATAAGAATCACTATACATATCTTCTCATCATGAATTTTTATTAATTTAAAGTACTGTATTTGCCCAACTAGAAGCATAATTACATAATCTCAAAATATAGAAAACTGTACACCAACAGTATACCAATTTGCCATGCCTGAATTTTAAAACAATTCACAAAATATGTAATTAGCTGGGGAGAACACGCAAGTTTCATAGACCGCACAATTTTCATGTATTTTTGTGGCTGTGAACAATTTACTTCAAGAGGTTTCTTAAGAACGGCAGGGCATCAGTGTATTTAGTGGAGATCATCAAACTCACAAATGTGATGCTAAGAACACTGAATGGCTTTACTAGAGAATGAAGTATATTGTCTATATTTTTTCAATAAGTATCAGGTTCAAAAAAAAACTTGGCTCCTAGAGCTTGAACTTTAGAGTTGAGAGGGCACCCACTTTCAATTGCGTACAGCATTATATCAAGGCAAGATATTGCCTTAATGACTCAGTGAAGTCTAAGCAGGTACATTTACTACAAACTAAGTTTACCTTCAATGTACCCTGTGAATGCTTAGATTCATTCAAAGTTAAATAATATTCATTACAAAAGATATAGATTAATAATAATAAATGAATAACTTACAAAAAAGACAACGTTGAAGACAATAAGAAGAATCTTGGAGCATGCAGCACATCCTTCTAAACTACCCATGATGATAGATGTGTATTATAATTCTGTATGAGATCTGTGAAAAAAATAATGAATACAAGATACCATAATACGTACAGCATACTGAAACAAGAGACAAGATTTGCTATGTGTTATTACAATTATGATTATAAAGCAAGACAACAGCATAAATCTATAACTTTACACTTCTAGAAATTTGCTTGCACGCTTTTTAAGAGATTAACTGATATTGGTGTAGTTATTTCCTATCATACTAATTGCCATTTTCAATTGCACAAGAAACAAGTGAAAACCATAGGATTATACAGTTTTTGTAGAGAAATTGGGGTTAGGGTTTTGGGTATTGGCTAGGGGTACACACATTTCAAGGGTTAGGGGTCCACACATTTCAAGGGTTAGGGGTCCACACATTTCAAGGGTTAAGTTGAGTTTCGGCCCTTGGCATATATCTGAAAAGTGATTTGGCATTCTCAAAAAAAAAAAAGTGCCATAATTACCAGGGTTGTGAACAATTGAGAAATGTGAGAAACAACCTTCATTTAGACTATAGTAGATTACATTTCATATACTGTACATAGTTTAATTTGATATATATGTACATCAATCTACAGTAGGTAATGCTAAATTTAAAGTGCGAAAGTCGTTGTATGTGCATGCGACAGGTGGCCATAGCGTGTCATTATTAGCGCATGTTGTCATCGTCGCTTGGGACTTGATTCTCGCACGTGTCCAGGCGACTACCCTCTGGATTTAAGCCAGAAGAAAACATAGGATTTTTGTGTAAGCATTCCATGGTAACCAGGGGTTAGTTTGATGAAAAGAGAAGATGGCGCATGATTGGGGTTGCCAATGATTAGGGGTTTGGTGATATAGGTCTGTATGTCTTACAGAATATTATGTTACACAGTCACTGATTTGCATATAATCTCTTATTACCTCCAAGTTGTTTCAACTCGACCTACTTACTCTCCGAGGTAATCACTTCTACATTGATGTCATTTTAAACCCCTAACTTTATACTGACACCTGTTTTTCTCATACAGCATAAAATGGACCAAAAAAACAGACTGACACCAAACACAACCTAAATGGCTTTCCCTTTATAAATAGTTGTAGTTTCTTTAACAATGGTGTATTACAAATTTAAAATATAAAATAATTTCCTTAGTTTAGAAATCAGTCAGTTAATTTATAAAACCCTATATGCTGCAATTGGTAAAGCTTTGATATAATTATGATATAAGCCTACATCCTCTCTGCAACTCATTTATTACTAATGTACATTTTTTTCTTCAAATGTATTTTCCTTGATGTAAATAAATTGTCTACCCATAATGGAAAGAGTACAAACAATTCAGTGAATGCAAAGGCATTTTATTTATTTTGGGGTTTAACTATTCTGTCTTTGGAATACTTCCCCATTAACACAATGACGAAATACTTTAACAATGCATATGTCCGTGAAAGGTACATCTTTGTGTTTATTCAACCATAAATCTACTGGAGTTTGTAGGTCCATGATTCAACAATTTTAAGGAGAGGTCATGTACTACAGGTATGTCGTTACAGTTGGCTGTACATGTATATAAATTTGCTGGACATTTGAAAGTAAAAATTTAATAATCTAATCACTGGGTTTTAAATTAGAAAGATTTAAAACAAGAAGGATTTTTTTTAATTTAGAATAAAGCTTAGAGTTAGATCTCTGATCTAGATCTCTACATGAATTAGATCAAGATGAATTAGAATTAGTTAGATCTCTACATGGATTTGAAACTCTTCCTCTCCACCACTATATACAGCATCATTTCAGAAAACATGCGAGTATTTTGGTACCGGGGGTGCGAATAGCCATTTTGTTGATCATATTGGCTATTCGCACGCCGCGCACTTTATTTTTTAGCCCTGGTTTCGCGGCTTCAGGGTCATCATATTTTGATGATTGGAATCGTTCCGACATGACTGAAATCTGGAGCTTCGAAACCACGGCTACATGTTGTTTCATTTTATAACAATTGTTGAATTGGATGTTTCAAGGTTAAATCAAGTATACTGGTTTTCTGGAAACAGAAAATCACAAAAAAGAAAACATGGTATAAATCAGAGTTGTACTTTGTTGTCAACATCCAACTCATGTGGAGTGAGTTTATGCATAGATTGTAAAATCAAAATTTGAGAAATTTAAATTATTCCAAATGTCTGCAGTGCCTACAGACAGATCACAGACAACTAATGGAATCATAGATCAACTGTGGATCTACCGTGAAATGTATGTCATAATATTGAGTGACGGAACCGCAGCTACCTGTGATATTCGAATCAGCAAGTCGTCTGATAGCAAATGTCAACAAAAAATACCACACACTAGTAGAAGAGCGCGGCAATCGATGAAATGTACTAAATGATGAGCCCAGTTTTCTAACCTTGTTTTCGATGGGTTTGCCAAGTTGTCACTAAAATCAGCTGTTCGACAAACAGATACTTTCACGTGATACTACGTCGCTCGTTGAAATCAGTCGTCGTTTGGGAAGAACTCGTCTATCAGAGGTTCGAGTGAATGTACACAAGCATGCAGAGAGCGAGGCGAAATTTGCATCTAAATGATCCTGTTCAATGACTGCGTCGCTTTTACTTGGGTTATTCCATTCACAGGGAGGGACAGTTGAAAACCGTGAGCTGTATTGGCGTATAACATGCATGTAAATTAGGATCATGCGATACGGTATCGCTCAGGATATATAAATATTCATATCATTTATAAGTACTATAATAGCATTATTATATTTTGAAACAATCAATAGTATGCGTTACGTAACACATGAATATTCCAATACACTCTAACGAGTAGCGTCGTCTGAATGGAGGGGGGGGGTGAAAGAGAAAAGGCGATAACAGTTGCCCGAAAACCTGAAAAAGTGAAACACACCCATATCATGTCAATAGCACGACAATGTCCAAAGCATAGTCACTGTACGTAGCTTATTGTATAGCATGTTTATTTTGTGCCTTTGTTGATACTCTGGCGTCATTGTTGTCATGGTAATTCCACGTCTATTTATAACTTTTGTTTTTACTGTTAATCAAGGCGAGCCACAAACGCCGGCCGCAACTAGTTTAACTGCAGTCGACGTCATCAGAAACTCGTCGTTTTCAACAAGGATACTTCCACATTAAGTGGGTAAATCAGTCAGTCTATAGAGGGACTGTGACATACTCACTTCTAAACTATTTTTTTCTATTTATATACCCACTTCTAAACACAATTGTTTTCAGCTAAAAAAAAAAAACACCCAGATCACAACTTTCGCAACCAGTGAGCGCATCCGGGCGACACATTTTATTCAGCCTTTTCCAGTATCTGGCTTTGAATATAAGAACCTGTGAAAAAGTAAATAAACTTGAATGCTACTAGTACACACTTCTAAACCAAAACATTGATAAATGACCCACTTCTAAACAAAAAAAAAAACGTGAAATGACACCCCGATCGGGCGGCACATACCCGTATTGCACTTCTATGGAAGAAGCCCTTTCGGGGGTACCACGCAACGAATACAACGTTTCCAGAATATATCAATTATAATAATTTACCTGAAAACTTGTACGAGCGCATGACTGCATATTACAGAGTCGTTTACGTAATGCAGGCATGGAACCTGGGCAGATATAAAATCTAAACAGCTAAAAAAGTAGAATACCATGTATAATTACGGATATCTGAAAATACAGTTCTTTGGATAACTGTACCTGGTGTAAGATAAATTCAAATTGTTCATGCGTATACAGAGGCGGCGACACGAAAGTGTGCATGGAGGGGCGAGATCTGCTCACCAACCATGCACCGAAGGCGTAACCTTACAAGGGCATGCTCTCCCTTAAAAAATAGGAAATCTAGACCCTCTGAAACGCTATTCCCTGCATTTTGAGGGGCAAATTTTGCTGACACAGAGGATTTCAGCTTGATTTTGGAGGGGCGACCCCCCAACATTTTTCGAGTGGCCGATCGCCCACTCTGTCCCCACCCCTGTGTCGCCGCCACTGATATAAATATAGTTATTTTATTCATTTAGTATAAACAGATCACAAGAATCAAACAGTGCGTCTATTAATGATTGTATATAACTTCATCCAGGAGAGATCACTTTTATTAATTATATACGGGTATTATATTTGTAAAAATTATGGCTCGCAGAAGAACAAATTCTTCAAAAATCACCCCTTGAAAAAAAAATCATAAAAAACCCCACCCCTTAAAACAAAATTTCAAGGAGAACCCACCCTTAAAGTGATTTAAGCATAACATTGATTCTTGAAAAATACGAAAAAGAGACCCATTGCTGATTCGTTATTAGCAAAACACATTGGAGATAATTTTCATAATGACAAAAAAGGTGTTGTTTTTTCGCGTCCCCGGGGACGCACTGTTACTGAAAAATACGCTACTTTACAATATCTGGTTTTCAGGAAAGTGCGCCATCAAACTATCAACAAGTCGATCTATGAAGACCATTTTGTTTTGCTTCACTGAGTGCTTTTTGTACCCCAGTTCTGGATTCTAGAGACTGTGTGTCATGAAATTGCTTCGCACAATTGTTTGTTTGTTTTTTTTATTTTACTAACGTTCAAGGATTTTGTGGTTGCCATGTTTGCGAGGTTTACATGTGTTCGGGGTTTTCAGGCAAATCCACTTATAACATTTCATTATTTCAAATAAGACGTAATTATTAT